CAGAAAGGGATGAATTATCATCCATTTTCGGTACTGCTGTTTGATCAAGAGTGCCTTCTTCTACTTCCTCTTCCTCATCATCATCCTCGTAATCCTTGCAGTTCTCTTGATCTGGCTGTACTACCACCAAAGATGTCAGTGGTGTAACAAAATGATGCTGAAAGTAAAAAAAAAAAAAAAAAGGATAAGAAAAAAAATATTAGAATCTAGCCTTACTTGCTATATATATATATATTTTTTACCTTATCTAAGTGGAAGTTACATGGTATTATACATTAGTGATAACAAGTATAGTAAAAATAAATTGTAATCAAAACTGCCCAAAAACAGACAGATAGAAAAGCACTAGACTAATACTAGGAACATAAGAAAGAGCTGCAAATATCTTCTTAAATAATGAAGAGTTGTATAAGTGAACTAATCAAGTAACAACAAAATTCGAAAAACTAAGTCTAATCTTTACCTCAAGTGCTATTTTCAAAGCCTTTCTCTGTGCCGAAGTTTTCTCATGGTTTCCTTTGGCTGCTTTTACTTCGTTAAGTAGATCCTATATACAAAAAATAGAGTAGATATATTGATGTCTTATAATAAGAAGATCGATATTGCAGAAGTATAAAACCTAAAAATTATATCATATGATAGGTTAGAGCATACTCTTATACAAAAGAAAAATGGCACAAAATCTATTATACATCATACCTTTACTTTCAGGAAAGCCCATAACCTTTCAATGAAGTTCTTAGGTGTAGGAGCAAGATGCAAGTGTGAAAGAAGGTGCTTGTCAGGCGGATTAACTGTATTCCAGCCTGTTACACCCATGAAGAAGTGTCCGTTCCTTCCTTGTCCAGTGATGTTGGCTTTTATCCCACTCAAATTGTCTAATTCTGTTTGTCCTGTCACTACCAGCTCAGTACCCTGTAAGATAAAGAAAAATAAACCTTACTTTTAGAGAAAGGAATTCCTGATAGTTGACAGTATCCATTTATCATATAACACTAAAGATTCAAACAAATCTATAGTAATGTCTTATGAAAAAAGACTGTATATTCTAATATTTTGTATATGTTCTGAATAGGATAGGCCAACAAATGTCCATCATGTATATTCCTTACAAGACAGAGCTTGGACAGTATCTTAATCTAATAGATAGCTATGAATGTTGATAAGCTTTATCTTGCTGAAGTAGAAGTCATTTTGCCCTTGTGAAGTCTAGAGGCCGCAACATTATGAATATATTTGAAGACTGATAAAGGATTGCAGGCTTGCCTTGCTTTCTGCAGATTACCTTTTGTGCCTGATAGTACTCTTTTAAATATTCTTAATAGCCATTACCTTAATTTTTTGTTATTGCTGGATATCTGTCCAAATTTGGTAATGTACAATATGTTAGTGTGCTATCAATTAGGATATTTATCACGAAACTAAATCCTATCCTAAACAAAAAAATAGCATATCAAATCAAAAAAAATCATATGTTGTATTTCAAGTAACCTATAGAAATTATCCCAGGAATGACTTCACATTTTTTACATTCAGTTTGAATTAAAATTTGACAATCGACTTCAATTTCCCCATAAAATGACTCCATAAATCATATATACTGTCAAAAAAAAAAAGAAATAAAAAAAGGCATCATACTTGGAAGTAGTTGTAGAAGTGGGTGCTACTAAGACTATTCATCTGAACAGCATCATCGGAATAGCTAAACTGCACATCCAAGAGAAGGGGCGTAGACAGCTCCTGGTAGAATCCTTTTAATTGTTCAGCAGCATCGATATCCTCATAGATTTTGCGAGCACTACCCTGGTTCTGGAGAAAGAGAAAGATATGTAAGTAATCTGCATTTGAAAGAGAAATATCTAATGTTATGTCTTTTTAGGTAACTTTTAATGTGAAATGATAAAAATAAAATACATGAATTTACACTTACATTTCAGGACCTATAAAAAAGTATTATCAATTCCTTACTAGCTTCAAATGTCCCCTCATTTCTCAATACTTACTAGTACTAGAACAAGCAAAGAGAGGAACATAGATAATACATCACACTTCTATAAAAAAAGAAGGTATATATATATATATATATATATATATATATATATATATATATATATATATATATATAAAAAGTAGAGATAATTCTGCATTTTCTGATTGTATCAACATAACAGATCATATGCCTCCTTTGTATCTCTCAAGTCAAATTGGGAAAAAAGCAATATTGTTCAAAGGAAACTTAAATCCTAAAATGGGCCTTTCACTTAAGTGTTTTACCCTAAATAAAACCAGGACAGTCTAACAGTTGTTTTAACCTTTCTATAAATTTTATTACTGCTTTGGGAATAACTCTGTAACAGAAAAATTTTAATAATACTGTCTTTGGATCTATTTCCACAGGTAACAATGTAATCCTGAAACTTTTTTGTATAGAAACATAACATAGAAACTGAAATGTGCAGACATTGCCTTATGCAAAACAGTTTTTTATTACTAATTGGGTAAAAAAGAAAAGAAAATTTCAGAAATTACTTACTTGATGTGCTATTCTCTCTAGCAAATTCATATCAGCTTCTTTGCCGAAGCCAAGGCAAAATATAGATGCTCGTTCCTTGTTCCTCTCCCTCACATTCTTCAATATTGTTTCTGGATGCTTGATGCCCACAGTAGCCTGCCCATCAGTCAGCATGATGATGATATGAGGTCGCACTCCTTCTGCACCCATGTTATTCTCCTGCTCAAATGACACCTGCAAGGTTGGAGATGCTTTAGAAATATAATTCAGATAAAGAGTAACTTCACAACGTGGTTGGAGTGATGGGGTTGGAGGCCTTCTGGGGGTAAGTAGGACATTATAGCTTGTCTTGAGCTTTAAAAGAATGGTCGTCCCCCATAAAAACTTTTATAACATAAAATCTCATAATGTCTGCATGTACACACATCAAAAGTGCTTGCATTCTAAAATCTTACTGTGCATTTCTGATGCACAGAGAGCACTTTCTGAGAAAACTCAAAATTAAATATTCCTTTATACATATAGGTAAAATAAACAGACAGTGCCCAATTCTGACCTAATCTACAGGTTTAAACTGAAGACATAAAAGTATATATAGACATTAGGACATACACAGTGCAATAACTTCTACACAACCTAAAGTAGTGCAAGGAGCATTGTGCAGTGCTGTGCAGTATCTGAAAAGAGGATTTCTATGACATATAAAGACTTGCAGCAAACAAGAAATGTCTTCATACATAGAACATAACGTTGGTGCATCAAAAAACAAGGGATTCAAAAAGAAACAACTAAAAATCATAGAACCTAAAGGCTGGTGCTTGTGCTGTAGAAGGAAAAATGATCAGTGCAGTAACAGAATTGAGGCTGTTAATATTCAAAACTGTTGTCATGGTAAGACTCAATATGGCGAAGATTTTGAAAAAAAGGATATTGTGGAGAAATTATCTAATAATAATAAAAAACACAAGATTTTCATTTCACTCTATGCGACCAAAAATGTAACACATCTGCATGGCAACAATTTGGAATGTGTCAGCAATTATGCCTTGAAGAACTGTTTGGCTTTCTTTTTATATATATATATGTGAGCCTCAGTTACTGGAGAGAGAGGTGCATCAAGGAACAAGAGGTGACATAGCTGTCTCTGCCTTGTGAGTATCACAGAAAAATTTGCTGGTCATATGTAAAGATTTGGTAAAATGAATTAAAAGTACATTAAATGAAGGTATTTAGGCCAGTTCAGTAACTGACGAAAAGTAAAGAGGCAGTGCTATTTAGTGTCAATATGTATGGCACTTTAATGATAATAAACCCTTGCTCAGAAGGTAAAAGCTAAATTTTGACAGCGTGACTGAGTGCCACACCGCAAAAGACAAAGACAACGCAGTCATCCCAGAGGCTCAAGAAGAAGCCTATTGGTCTTCTCCACGGCCTTAATAAAGGGCATTAATGGTCATCTCTGGGCCGGTGAAGAAGTGTTACCAGTTGCAAGGATATGCCTGCCTTGCGTCCAATGCTCCTGCCATTGGTTGTGCACGCTTGGAGATAATTATGAGGTGAGAAATGTATCCGAGTGGGAAGTCGACGTCGAGAAAGTGCCATCTGAGGAAGGAAGGGAAAACCAGCTTAGGTGAAGAGCTCACCCCCAAAGGCTGGATTCCCAATACATGTTCCTGAATGATATCTGGCATAGTCCAGTCTCTTGCTGTGGCTCATTCACTTTACATTCAATACAATGCTTGAAGTGGGAAGCACATTTTGCAAATCATTGCAGCTGCTTCGGTTTAAAAGAGCAGGCACATCAGTCCAAGCTCAGGCAGCATTATGCCTTTCAACAATGGATATCTTGGTTGATCTCCAGTTCAAGCACTGACATAAATATCTCACTTTCAAGCAGATACCTCATTCAACCCTTCAAAGCATCATTCTGGTTATTCAGTCACCAATTGTCTTCCTTTTGAGTTCTCACTGTCAAACCAACAATTCCATCAACATGCCACATTCTGTTCTACTGCTCCACATAGAAAAGAAAAAGTGAAAAATGTTGATTAAAAGAAAATCATTTCACTCATGCAATATTTTTTTTTGTGTATTTAGTTAAAATAACTGAAATTTGGGATAAATAGGTAAAGTAACTCAAGAAAAAATCTTTAACCTATACACAATACAAACATACTGTATATGATAAAAGAAAGTAGCAGAATAATTCTATATTGTATATTCAGACATGTTCAGGTGAAAATGAACATTTCTTTTAATCTTTGGGAAATGTAACCATGCTTTACCACTGTTTAAAGTAAAATTAACTTATGTTCAGTCTGTTTCATTTAAACTAAAACATGTAAAAACCATGTTTTTTTCTCATACTCATTTTCATGCATTGACCCCACCCCTTCTCTATCTCTCTCACACACACACACACACACACACACACACACACACACACACACACACACACACACACACACACACACACACAGTATATATA